GGGTTTGAGACCCAAGCACCATGCGCTGGGGTTCTTGCCCCAGCTTCTGCAAAACTAGCAGCAAGTAGATAAATAGGTACCATTTCGATGGGAAGGTAACAGAGTTCTGTGTGCCTCAGCATGTAGTCATTTTGGCCACATGACCACAGTGCCTTTAGACAACACTGGCTCCCTCAGCTAAGAAATGGAGATGAGCACCACCCTCTAGAGTCTGACATGACTAGACAGGAGAAACCTTTACTTTTATCTATATTTATAATACTTATAAAAACAGCAAATTATATTATTCATAATATAAATGATGATTTCTTTGACTAATTCACTTTCATCCTACTTAATATTATCTTAATTTGAAATATTGTTTATTGCCTGAAACTATTAGGGTTAAAAATCTTTTGATCAAATTAATTTGTCCTCACAATAAGGGACAAATAATTACCTATTCAGAGGAAAAAATAATAGATGTTCTGTGTTAATGACTATTTTATATGGGACCATATGCAAAGGGAAAACATGTCTGATAACTGCATATTAGATACAAAAATTAATACATACATGATTAATCTCCATATATATTGGCTAATTAAAGCAGACTTATATATCACTGCCTTTAATAGGAGTGTAAAAAATGCATTCAGTGAAATAACTAATTACAAGGCATATTAATAAAATCTGAAGTGGATCTTCAAACATACCACTTTTTATAGGAAGAGTATTATTCCAAAACTATGATTATATGCTGTACATTTTCAAAAGTTATATCTAAGAAAACTCTAAGTTATAGTGTTCCATTATTTTGGAAAAATTGGTAATGAAAATATCTGTATTGTCTCAACATTCAGTTCTATTTACTAGAGTTGCCACTGAAAGCTGCCTATAACAAAATTCATTATATTTCTATCTAATTACCAAATGATTCTTATATTCCTAAACATTTGCATGGCTTTAATAATGTTGTTATAAAATAGCACTTAGCAATAGCACTTAGACTATTATATACCACTTCACAGTGCTTTACAATCCTCTCTAAGAGGCTTATAGAGTCAGCATATTGCCCCCAACAATCTGGGTCCTCATTTTACTGACCTTGGAAGGATGGAAGGCTGAGTCAGGAGCTGAGGAGAATCAAACTGATGGCCGACAAAATTAGCCTGCAATGCTGCATTCTAACTACTGCACCACCATGGCTCTAATGATAATTAAGCTGCCTTTGAAGACAGAAAATACTTGTAGTGAAATTAACTATATTTCCTTTAGAAGTATTGTAAAGTATTATAAATATTGATGAATCCTCTTTTATTATGAAGGTACTGCTCCACAGATATAATGCAGGAACTGATTCTGGAACAGGGAAGAGAATAAAAAACACAATTGATTTATTTCATTTGTTTATAACCTATTTATATGTCTGATCATCTCACAGAAAGTCACTCTGGACAATGTACAATAAAATCGTAAAATAACAGTATTAAAACTCTGCCATGAAAACATTGATGTTGTTATCAAAAAAGGGTAGGCAGCAGCATTGGATATTAAAAACAGTGGAGCCACCTCAGCAGATTCCTTTGATACACCCATGTCTGTTGACACCACTAAGGTTTGAGGGATTTCCAGAAAGATGGCAGAAAAGGAAACAGTGCTACCTCAGAGTGCGGAGAAAATGTTCAACAAGGTGTCATGGCAAAAAAGATCCATTGTAATATAATTTATATGCCACCCAACTCATACTTTCTGTCAAGTGTCCTTGAATATAAATTAAGGAGGGCTGACTTTTCTTTTGGTGTTATGAATGCAATTAATAGAAATTATGTATATTGTACATAAGGCAGGCTGAAACCAGGTTTTTCCTGTGAAAATAATTATAAATCAGTAAGATAGACTTTAATAATTGTCAGCAGGAGCCACAGTCAGATTTGTGAATAAGGAACACAAATAGTGAATGCTCTATAATACAATCTGATAATATTAGTCATATGATTTTGAAAGAGCTAGGTTAATCAAGTCCAATTTATACAGCAGGGGAGAAAAAATTGATTTTTCCCAATTTTTTTGCAGAAAGCCCTGCTCTATAACAACCTCAACTGCATCTTCTCATTTCCAAAGTTTGATGCCAAAGCCATAAAACATCCTTTCGTGTCCAGTTCTACTACCATGCTGATATCAAATATTTCTATTTTCTTATTTATTTTATCTCATATATGTACTTAGCCTTTTACTAACATTCCAAGGTCATCTGTCAAGTGTACTGCATGATAATGGCTGATTATGTTATGCAAATTTGCAACCTGGTATTGCACAAATTTTCTGAAATGTTTAATTTTGTAAAGTGCAGCAAGAGATGGAAAAGTCTGGGCCTTATTTTTGGAAGTATTTATCTTTGGCTCATTCATGCCCCTTAATCTATGATAAATATAGGCACTAGACCAAATATAGCAGGAGGAATTATTATTAAAACATAAACAACTATACACAGGTACTAGAATCTAGTTTAATTAATCCATATTTCAAAATGTCTTCTCTCCATGATGTCTTTTGTAAATCCAATCTATAATCATCAAAAGCAAGGTAAACACCTCATATTTCACACCTGGTACAGTACAATATTGTGTATCTTACCTATTGAGCAAATAGAGCTATTATAATTGTCAATATAAATCTTAAAAAAGAAAAAAAACAGCAAAAACAATGGGGATGGAAAACAAGCAGCAGTATATTCATTACAAGGCTATCAAGCCAAAAAGAGAGAACATCCTGTCCGAATGATGTTTTAAAAGAAATGGCACAGAATTTTCTTAACAAAAGTGCAAAGTCTCTGAATGATCATAGAAATGCATGTTTGCTTGTTTGTCTTCTCTAGCTCAGTTTATGGCTCAAATGAATGCATTTCAGTGAATATTTGGAAAGACAATCAATGTCTCTCTGGATATTCAGCAAATGCTAGGATTATTTTTTAAGAATCTTTGCAATGAAATCATTTATGGTTTGATGCATTTTTCCCATAACTATTCATTTTGGCCATTCAAAAAGAATTAATTCACCCCAGTATTGAATCAGTCAATATTATTTGTTGAGGGCCAGGCAACACTTCTTAGTTAAATTGGTTTGAAGGAATCAAGAATCACTCAATAGGCCTTTTGCAATGACTGTTGTTGTTGTTGTTGTTTTGTTGATGTTATATACAGTAAAGCATATAACTAGATGCAGTAGAAGAAATTGATCTAATCCTTGTGATTAGCTCTTGTTATAAAATACAGATTTTATTGAATCAGTGATACTTAAAAATAGAATGAAACTGTTTTGCTTTGCTTGAAACATAAATACAACAGTAAAGAATTCTGAAAATATCTATAAATTTATATTTTCTCTATCTATTTAGAGGTTTATTGTTTCTTTTCCAGTTTCTTTTGTTTTGTTCTGAGATTATCTTTTTTTTTTAACTTGGGCTTTTGTTTTATCCTGATATTTTGTTTGTCAAAAAAACAGAATGAATGAGAGAGAAAATTTATAGTTCAATTTGAATTTATGAACAAATTCTACTTAGGAAAAACACAACTCATCATAGTCTATTTCAAAGATCTCCAAAACTACATATAATTTCATACCCCACAATAAGTATTTATACTAGCACATTTCACAAAAATTCTCTTAATAATCCATATAATTACTCTGTAAATACAATCAGTATTAATATTCTCACATTGCAGTTGTAGAACAGATTGTGAGGCTGAGTATATAGTCTAAATTCATCCAGCAAGCATGTCTGATGAAATTTGAATAAGGGACTTCTAAGTCACACATAAATTTCCTACAATAATGCTAATTTCCAATAGAATACTGCAGTACATTATAGTATTGTAATTCTAGACTACAGGAGCAGATCCAATAAGATAAGTCAGTATAAGTTGCTACATTACATTCCTGCTCCTTTGTTGTATACAGCCTCTTACAAGGGAACGTCAAAATGTCATACTTCATTATTTAATTCTGTGGCTTTTGCTGATAGATACTACTCCATATACTCTCCTTTTGGAAGGCAATGGACAGGTTTTCTTCAATTGAGGCATTGGGAAATGGGATGACTTTACTTCAGGTTTTGTGGGCTAGAATACTGTAGCTAAAAACACTAAAACCTTAATTTTATTTTATTCTTCACACAAAACCCAAAGTCTTAGACCAGTTGAAGAAGGGACAAGAGTGGCTAATGATAATTACATTTTATATTTGTCACATTTACATTTGGTTTTCCCTCCAGGATATTAAGGCAGCACACATAGCACTTTTCCCATCTTACGAAGTTGGTTGGACTGAGAGAAGGTAATTGGCACAAGGTCACTCTATGAACTTCTGTGCTAAGGTGAACTTTAAAATGGGTTTCCCAATCGTAATCCAAGATCGTAGTTTGCAGACAGTTTCTTACTGAATACACAAATTTTGGGAAAGAGAAACTCCAGTTCAGAACTAATTCAGGAGAGCCTCAATTGCAGATTGACTAAATGGCTTCAGGAAAGCTGCCTTACTACAAGTCCACAGTAGTACTTTGGGTATGGTGGTACTAGATTGTTGCAAGCATTGCAACAATAAAATGCAGAAAGCTGTTACAAGAGAGACTCTAAATAGAGACTCTAATACACTATAAAAACTTTGAAAGAGCCTTAATCTCCTCTATGGCTAGAGACATAACAATTCTGCAATTTTGTGTTATAATTTGATAGAGCTTCATGTAATTAGTGCCAGGCAAGGTACAAATATCTGTAAGTGAAACTGTGTCACAAAAGCAAGTCCCTATCCTGTGTTGAATTTCTGTTCCATGTTCTCTTCTTCTCCAAACAGTCTTGCAATATTTTCAGGAAGCAGTGAAAATGTCATTCCCAGCTTTGGTGTGGAATTTTGCTTCTTGTCTCATAGTGTCAATCTTCTGATCTCCACGACAACAGAGAACTTTGAAGACCTTTGAAGGAATGTTAAGCTTAACTGTGAATAGGAAGCTTTGAAATGGAAGTCATCTGGGAAATATCTGTGGGATTTCTTGCATTGTAAGAAAAGGAAGGAAGGAAGGAAGGAAGGATGGAAGGAAGGAAGGAAGGAAGGAAGGAAGGAAGGAAGGAAGGAAGGAAGGAAGGAAGGAAATCTTCAGCACTTGGAAAGTATGGGAAAAAAGAGAGAAATAAACATATTCAAAAGTAATGTTAAAAAATATTACTTCATAGAAAGGTTAGTGGAACCAATGTACCTCCAGTGAAGGTAGCGGGTCAATCTTCAGTAACTGAGATTAATCATGCTTAGGATAACAAAAATCATCCAACAATAATTAAAAATAAAATTAAAAATAGAAAAATAGAAATTTAAAAATAACAAATAAACAAATCAATAAATAGGAAAACAAAAAACAACTAAGCTCAAAGGGCTTAGTTGGACCACTAGGTCTTTTTCTGCCATAAATTTCTATGTTTCTATACATAAAGTAAAAGAAATTGAGGAAGAAAGTAGTGGAAAGGAAAAATAATAACCAATCTCAAAGGTGCTTTTTCAAAAAGGCAACTGGACTATTTTTTCCCTTGAGGAAGAAGAAGAAAATGTTGCTTCTCATCCAAGAAGCTTCATCAGTTCTGATGGTGGGAGATGGAAGGATAGGTAAAATAATAACCAATGGTGGCTGTCATGAAGTAAATATCTGAGAAATGCAAACATGGGAACTTTTTGGCCTACTTAGTGAGTGAATATAGAGAAATCTGATTTAATCCATGATATGAACTGGAACTATTAATAAACCAATTTTAAAAAGCTTCAATTGAAATTATTTTTAGAGAAATTGTTCTTATTTAAAATCCCAGCAGAGAAATATTCTAAACTGTTCAGAGTCACAGACAGTGAGATGGGCCATATATAAATTTGATTAATAAATAATATAAATCAATTCAGTGTTATAGTGCACTAAGTTGAACAGATATTTGATAATGACTTTTCCAATAAAAGAGAGAGAATGCTCTAACAGCTAAACCTTAATATCTTTTCTTTCATTTTTAGCTGAGTGTGTTATGTGAACCAAAGCTATTGTGATTAATTTGGAAAGGGAAGATTAAAACAAATTTGATTTTGTAAAATATCTGAGCCCAGTCAATATAGCTGAGTGATTCAGAAAGTAATTGTCATTTACTTCTGAATTAACTTCTGGACATTGAATGTAGTATTTCAGATTGTGCCTTTCAATGAATGTAGAAAGGTAAAATAAGTTTTTTAAACATTTTTTTCCATTGCAGATACTAAAGACACAATTTTCATTGAAATCAGGGTGGCTCCCATACATCAAAAACCCAAACATACCCTCTAGTACCAGCAAATTATTAACAAAAATGTCACTGTACATTAGCAAATTACAAGATATATGCTTGCCTTCAGATGTCTACACTGATACAGATTTTTGTTCTTTTGATATTTACACTAAAACCTTTTCTGCAGTAGAAATGTAATTCTTGTAAATAACAGTTTGGATTGTGCAGAGATTGGACTGGGAAATTACAGGTAGTCCTTATTTCAACCCTGAAAATGACCTGTCCAAAGCCATCTTGGCGCTTCAGTGCTGCCACACTGGAACAAGGGATAGGGGGGTGTGGGTTAGAGATAACTGAGGTTGTGTAGTCAAAATAAAATACTTTCTCTTGGGAACCAAGGATGTGTTCTCACACCTGGCCGGAGGAAGAAGGAGTGATATCACCAGACCAGCGGATGCTACCTTGATTGGGTCATGTGACTGATTGATTGGGGTTGAGGGAAAAACCTTTATTTTTAATTAGGCGAAAACCAAGGGGCCGTTCAGAGTTGGTTTTCACCAGATATGTGCCAATTTGATATTTCCAATAATTCTATTCTTTGAGGAATTCACCTGCCTCGGAGTTATTGCTTGCAATGGATCTATTACTTGGAACATTGACACCTTTACTGACAACCATTCTCATAGTGACTGTCTGAAGTTACAATACTGAAAAAAGTGACTTACCGTATGACCATTTTTCACAACCATTGCAGCATCCCCATGGTTACGTGATCAAAATTCAGGTATTTGATAATTGGCATGTATTGATGACAGTTGCACTTTCCCAGGGTCATGTGATCACAATTTGTAATCTTCCCAGTCAGCAAGCAAAGTCAATGGGGGAAGTCAGATTTGTGGAATGATTGTATGATTCATTTAACAACTGCTATGATTTGCTTGATCAATGTGACAAAATAAAGGTTGTAAAATGAGACACAACTCATTTAACATCTGCCTTGCTTAGCAACAGAAATATTGGGCTCATTTGTGATCATAAGTTGAGGACTACCTGAAGCAAAATAAAAACACAGAGATCTTGTATTCTGATGATCAAAAATTTCAGCTCAAAAATTGTTGATTAATAGAATAATTAATTATATTAATAAATATGTATGTGGAAAATGCATACATATTTTCATTTGTACTCCAAATACAATAATACATTAATTTATTTAAGTCTGAAGACCAATAATTTACTGAACTCTCTTTTCTTTCCCAATATTATTGTCTGCTGCTGTGTCATAAGTAATCTGTTTTAGAAGTATAAAATATATTAACCTACATTCAAAGCAGATTACAGTATACTGTAAGTAATAGACTATCACTTATCTTCTATTTTCTATTATCTTCTATTTTCCAGTAGAGTAGAGGGATCCTATTTCTGCCTGCAAGCAATCTGAAGCTAAAAGTATTACATGTATCTTCAATATTTTTATATCTTTTCTTATCTTTTCCTCAATAGCTGCCAAAACTTTTGCCTTAATTTTGGACATCAGTGTTAGAACTGTCTTTGGTAACATCCAGGCAGGAAAAAAAAAATCTCCTCCAATAATTAACTTTCCTGCTTCCGATAGTAGGATTACTGCAGGAAATGCATGGTTGTCAGAATTAAAATTGTAGGAGATTTCAAAAAATACCATCCAGCAATAGAACCAGCTTGACCAGAAGGGTCATTATGGTATTAGAACATTGTAAGAGATGTCAAAATGCACATGGTTTAAAATTCTATCGCTACAAGAGTTCATTGCTTTGTTTAAATGTTTCCATATAGGAAAGTAAATAATGCCTGAACATGAATAGAGTAAAGGGTGCTGGACCCTCCTAACCATGCCCTTAGGATTTGCCTGTGTAAATATTGTATCTTCTAATTATGGGTGATATAATACTTCTGATAGTGACTACCCAGTTTCCTGAGGAAAATAAATATCTTAAGCATAGGTGAAATGCTCCCAGTTCGGACCGGATCACCCGATCCGGTAGCGATGGAGGCAGGTGGTTTGGAGAACCGGTAGCAAAAATCCCTGCGCTCCCCCCTCCCATGCCCAGCTGAGCCGTGTGATCATCAGAGGGTGTTTTTACTTTTAAAAGCATTTTTTCTACAACCTCTTCTGCCAAAAAAAAATGCCTTTAAAAGTCTCTGGCGATCCCAGCTGACTTGCCTGATCATCAGAGGCTTCTAAAAGTATTTTTTTCTGCAACCTAAGGTTGTAGAAAAAATGCTTTTAAAAATAAAAAAAAAAAGTTGGCCACACCCACCCAGTCACATTACACCAAGGCACGCCCACAGAACCGGTAGTAACAAATTTTAGATTTCACCCCTGATCTTAAGGTAGGGCTGTCAAACCTGCGGCCCATGGGCCAGATGCGTCACGGGCTGGTCATGCCCAGTTTAGCGAAGGGGGAAAAAGTCACGATACATCACGTGATGACACCATGATAACGCGAGTTTGACACCCCTGTCTTAAGGCAAGGAGAGCCAACTAACACTAGTTTATGAGAGAAATGAGGCTCTTACTGTCTGAACCACTTATTGTACTTGCTTATACTGGGCATAATAATGCAGTTGATGATGAAGATTGTGATGATGATACAGTAACAACAACAACTCTGCAGTGTCTAATCATTAAGGTATGTGGCCAGAGAACAGCAGGACGGTCTATTTATCAGGAGGTGAAAACAAAAGAATTTATCCTACCATTTACCAATCAACTTTATTAAAAATAAGGAACAAGAAACATATCTAAATGTCTTTTAGATGTAGGTAATCAAGTGCGTAAAGAATTATATTTGGTGGAATATGTCTTTTGGTATTCATAAGAATACAAAATAGCCATGTGAGTTTCAAATATCCTAGGCTGACATAGCCTTTACTAGAAATGAATATAACAAACATCATATCAGTGGTGAAATGTAAAATTTGTTACTACTGGTTCTGTGGGCGTGGCTTGGTGTGGGGGAATGTGACTGGGTGGGCATGGCCAACTTTTTTTTTTAACTTTTAAAACCATTTTTTCTACAACCTCTTCGGCCGAAGAGGTTGTAAAAAAAATGTTTTTAAAAGCCTCTGACGATCCCAGCTGAGTTGCCTGATCGGCAGAGGCATTTAAAAGCATTTTTTTTTACAACCTCTTGAAGAGGTTGTAGAAAAAATGTTTTTAAAAGAAAAAAAAAGCCTCTGCCGATCAGGCCACTCAGCTGGGATCGCAGAGGCTTTTAAAAGCATTTTTTCTACAACCTCTTCGGCCAAAGCCTCTGACTTTTAAAAACATTTTTTGGCCGAAGAGGTTGTAGAAAAAATGCTTTTAAAAATTAAAAAAAGGCCTCTGATGATTGCACAGCTCAGCTGGGCATGGGGGTGGGCAGGGATTTTTGCTACTGGTTCTCCGAACCACCCGCCTGGGTATGTCTACTTTAATGAAAAGAAGGACTAGGGGAGACGTGATAGCAGTTCCAATATCTAAGAGGTTGCCACAAAGAAGAAGGAGTCAAACTATTCTCCAAAGCACCTGAGGGTAGAACAAGAAGCAGTGGGTGGAAACTAATCAAGGAGAGAAGCAACTTAGAACTAAGGAGAAATTTCCTGATAGTTAGAACAATTAATCAGTGGAACAACTTGCCTCCAGAAGTTGTGAATGCTCCAACACTGGAAATTTTTAAGAAGATGTTGGATAAACATTTATCTGAAGTAGTGTAGGATTTCCTGCCTGGGCAGGGGGTTGGATTAGAAGACCTCCAAGGTCGCTCTGTTATTCTAACTCTGTTATTCTATTCTATTCTATTCTATTCTATTCTATTCTATTCTATTCTATTCTATTCTATTCTATTCTATCATAT